CCAATCCCTCTTTGCATTTTTTAAGAACTCTAATCTCTAAGATTCAACCCCTCAAACCTGTCTTCCCCTTTTTACTTGAAAATTTGATTCCCTCATTATCCCTTCACACATCACTTAAACAAAACATCAGCTCATTGTCCATGCTTATAGCATATGTGCCGTGTATATAGGATATTAATTAACATATAGTAAGATCTTTTGGAAGATCTAACCAAAATTTAGGAACTACAATTCAACTTTTAGAAACATTGGGAACAAATTGAAATCAAGCTCAAACTATATATGGTAATTTAACCTTCTAGAAGTAAAATATTCATAACAATTTATGTCAAAGTTGATCCTTATCAACGCTACTGAAAAGTCACCATCATCAATTGTTTTGCTTCAGCCAATTCTAAGAAACACGATTTTCAAAACTCAATTTTGTATGAAATGTCCTTACCTGTTTCAAGGTTCAATTTGGGAGAAGAACCATGTAATGCATATTTGGCATAGGTTAATATTCTAACTCGTTGTGAAACACCCAACTTTCTCGTGATGGACCTCAATGAACCACTGAAGCACAGAAAAAATAAAAAATGTTGAGGAGACAGAGATGCATCAAGTCGCTAAATTACACAGCATAAATTCCACTTTTTTTGTCTCACTCTGTGCGCAGTACAGTGAGAAAATCTGGAGGCAAAGATTCCATGAATGAAGATATGTCCTCCATCTTTAACAACTTCAATTCCTGCTTAAGATTTTTTTTCTCTTCATAGGACATTCCCATCCCAAGAGCAGATGTACTATAAAAAGAAGTGATAAAGTTAGCAGGAATCATCTTTATATTTCACAATTAAATCTTCAGAAATCAGGTTCACATAAAAAAAGCAGATAATGTCATTGTAGAACAATTCTAATGCATTCTCAAAGTTACAGGCTACAAATTTACATTGACTATCAGTAATTTGTAATACACAATTCTCAAGTGCAATATAGCAACAATACATGCATCTTTTTTTAGCCATCAAACTTTCCACAATTTAACCACATCTAATTAGTGCGGTCATTTTCATTTATCAATACTGTCCATCAACTCTTTAGGATCGTTTCATGGCCACCCTACTTTCTTGTGTTTATATTCTCCTCTGTTCTGTCTTTTGATGGAATCTGAGTAACTTGTTATGAATTTTAATTTAGATTCATGGCAGCTATAGCCTCTAAGTTCTATATTATGGCTAACGCTCTGAATGTTAGAGATTTTAACAAATTAGACTCGAATGAAACCCACCATTGCAATCTTACAGTACAAGTTATTTAACAACATTTCGCATAACGTCCATCTACAAGCTAACCACAAAACATCCTAATTAACGGTGCATAGTTGCAACATATGTCAAATTATAGATTAAATGCTTGTGCTCAGAATTCATAACGATCAATAATGAAGTAAAATAATAATCACCTATCAAAAGATCTCCCAGTCAAAATAAGAAGTAAGATAATAATCACCTATCAAAAGATCTCCCAGTGAAAATAAGAGGGAAATATCTGCAGTACTTCGGAACACCAAATCGTTCTCCTAGTTGAAGTATTTTATTGGTATCTAGCATAATCATAGCCTTCCAGAGCTGACAATAGTCCAGTCTRAATTCTTCATCCAACTGTTTGTAGATTCCATGATCTAGAAGAACTGCATTGTTTCTTTCATAAATGGATTGTATATGGGATAGACTAAAAGGATTCAACATCAAAAATCCAACAAATTAAATCATCAAATGGCACTTACTGAGAGTCAAGCCATTCAAACTGTCCTGAGAAACCAATATATTACCAGGGTGTGGATCACAATGCACGAAACCATGGACAAAAATCATTTCAGCAAATATTTCAACAAGTGCTTTGGCAACCTAAAATATGAACCGAAATTAAGACAAATGAAGCATCGGTCAAATCCAATATGTAATTATTGGAATAATTGTTGGAGACTCAAACGGTGTAAAAGCAAATTCATTTTCCAACAAAGTGTTAAGATGAAATGAACTTGAAAAAATAAATTCTTTATTGATTTTTTTATTCTGCCAGCTACAGTATCCCAATGCCCAATTCATAAAAAGTACCCAAGTAAACAGCAATTATAATAAGAAGAAAACGACTTCTTGCACAAAATGGATTTGTCTTATTGTAAGAAACAAATGGTTCCAAATTAGCCAGGACTCTCAAGGCTAATTCTAATTATTGTTCTATTTTACACGAATCACATTGATACAATCTTGTAAAGGTTTCCTATATATTTTTTCCCGTACTCTCCCTATTTCTTTCTCTCATTTGTGTGTATGATATTGTTCTCACATAACCAAGGAATGAACACGTTAATGGGAGGTGGACAAGCAAGCTCTTATTGAGCACATCTTGAGGGGGAAATAAATATGCAATGATATATAATTTGTCTGGCTGAGTGACCAAAGATGGAGATACTACAAGTTCAAACACCACTTCCAGAGTAGAATCAAACAAAAAAACACAATAAATATCAAAAGATATTCTGAAAGTTGAAGTGAAGATACTCCAACATTAAAGTCCAGATGATAAATCTGAAAAATGAGCTCAAGTGGATATGGACGACATAAATGCAGAACTTCGTGCTATATTTTGAGGATCAAATATACGGAAGTGAAAATAATGACACTAGTTTTYTTCTTCTACAACAAAGATCCCATGACACTAGTTTTCTTCTTCTACAACAAAGATCCTCATCTCAGCCCAATGAACCCCCGCTACATGATAAACTTAGATGGATACATTAATATGCAGACACCTACTGAAATACAATAATATAGAAGCTCTAAAGCTATAAAGCAGTCAGCATGGAATTGGTAAAGCTTCTCAATTATCCTTGAATCGACAACTCACGGCACATAGTATAAACATCCATCCACTCAACCTCACAATACATTTCATACTAAACATGATTTTGATGACCAACGTTGGAAGGGCACAGCTTAACCTACGTTGGTCACAGCTTAGCCTTGGTGTTTTAGTAACTTTTAAAATGATCCATAAACAAAAGTTACCAAATCATCAAGATTTTGATGACTGAAGTTGGTCATTTTTGTTACTATSTAAATGAAAAACCAACCTTTGTCGGCTTTATACCTGATTGCTTCATGAATTCAATATCATCAACCTGAAATTAAGAAACTTCAGTAAACAAATGTTTGAATAGCTTCTTATATAACAGTAGTATAAAATATGCATACCAGTCGATAGGAGGATTACAAAAAGGCCGCTAGTTTTACATACCCAAGGCTAATTAAGAAACCAAATAAAGAAAATGAAATCAACAATCGGTAAAGGAAAGAACAAAACTACAAATATGTGCAGCCAATAATAAAACTACATATATGTCCAGCCCTCTGCCACGAACACTACTGTGGCATTAGCTAGTTAGTTTCCCAAACTTTCCCACATCATGCACAGCTTACTCACAATATGCTGAAATTGATGCTTTGGAAGGTCCTAAATTCAACATTGGCAGTTGATTCTTCGTGGATAGAGAACCACAATGTTTCCAATCTTTTGATAAAGGCGCCAACGAGTTATGTATCCAGCATGTTAGGCTTCCAACCATGAAAATGGGTGCAAGGAGGGCCAGAARATGAAAATCAGGTGTTGGTAGTTCTAGTTGAGACTCTGAAGAATGTACCGATTAATAGGAGGGAGGATATAAGCTAGAGACATGGTGAAGGAAAAAGAAATGAACAGACAATGTTGACATTCAACTTTTCTGCCACCCAATGGGCTGCAAAGGCAAGAACAAGGACTATGAGTTGTGACTTTAAGGCTAAAACTACAAGTTCAAGTTTAGGTTTGTTGTAGTTATGGGTTGCAAAAACAAAAATGAAGAGGGAAATATTTGAGGGTTGAACTACAAGCAAGGCCATTGGGATAACGTGTAAAAGAAACATCTTGATCATTTCTGGTTCATAACTTTTCAACTAATACAGCTTAATTTGTAATACAATATAGCAATGGTAACTTAAAAATAAGGGGAAAATAATTAACTTACAAGGGAAGTAATTACATAATTAAAACTTTGTATATGCTTTCTATTTTCATTTGTCTTAATGAAAAGTTCAGTTTCTTATCAAAAAATTAAAAATTAAAAAAGATAATTAAAACTTTGGATCTAAATAGATGTGCTGGCCTAATTCATTCTGAGGTGTAGGCTGTTATCTTCCAATGAGTCCTTCTCCAATAAACTTATTACAAAGTATGAGGGTGAGATGGAAAAAAAAAAGTAGGACAAATAATAAAAAGGTACAAAACTAAGGTCTACTATCACATGGCTTATTGGCTAGTATCGTACCATGAAACATGAAGTCAAAAGTACCCTGTACCTTTACAAATGTAACGTCTAAGGGTTATAAAAAGAGGTTTAAAGAATCATAATATACTAAAAGTCGAATGTTACATCTCAAACCATGAAACAATAAGCCAAAAGTCATACCTTGTGCCCTTTACAGAACTCCATTGTCAGAACTTGCCTTGAAGTAAATTCCTAAACATGTTCGAGCTGATCAGATTACCATTGCTGCATAAACATCCCATCCCATATCAAAGAGCCCAAGAGACAAAAAATGAAAAAAACCATCCCAGGCACCTTGACAGATCCAACTTGTCACACAGTATCGAGATTAAATGCTTTTACTGTTAGAATTAATTAAATATGAGACAACCTGTGGAAAATATAAATTGTACATGACAAACAAGAACCTCAATTTCCATACCCAATATACACGAGGAATCTTGACCAAATTGTTGTTCTTGAAGTTTTCAGCAGTCCTCTCAGCATTTCTAGCCTCCTGAGTGAAATCTGCATAGCCAGAATGAATAACATCATTAATTTACTTGTCATTTTGGCTTATATCCAATTGTAAGCTGTTCAAATAGAAAATTGTATAAATTTAGGGCCTAACTTCCTGAGTAGAGGCCAAATTTGCAAGCCTCTGCTTCATATTCATTTGACAGATTCTCCAAATTTGTAGAGGCCGTATGTTTTTATCCCAAGATTATTTAACCCTCCATAAAATAATAGGTCTTTGATTTGTAGAATTCTTCTTAGTTATACATGGAAATCCATGAACCTACTTTTGAAATTTACCCATGACATATCTTGCAAAAGTTCACTCATTTTTGAAGATCAATTCACAATGTTAGCAATAACCCAATGAAATCATTCAGCCTCTAAAGCAGAATATTATGACATCTATAAACAACCATTTTTTGTTTTTAAAAAATCAAAAACAATTTTTTGATGCTGAAAATCTGTTTTGTAAGACAATTTTATAAAAACAAGAAGCAGAAGAAAACATAAATATTATTTAATTGTTTTCATGTATTTTATTTAGGGTTGAGAGTTAAATATTCACATACAATATTAAATTGTAAGTAAGACTTCATGTAAATGTTATATTTTAAAATTAATATGTCAACACAAAAAAATGTGTTTAAATTAAAAACAAAGTTTACAAAACGTCTTTAAGTTACATTACATTACATTACAACCAAACGTTCTTTAAGGTTCTCTAGATATTCATAATTAATAAAATACATCAACTATGGAAAAAAACCTCTAAAAAACCATAGAAGTTTTAAAAACTTACCCAACTCCAAAAAAATTGTCCTTTCAAATTCTGATGCCAGCCACTCGAACCTGTAGTCAGGGAATAGCTGTATGAAAGGAGAACACCCAATCRTAGGTASGGGGTAAGTAGTACTTAAAGAAAATGAAATTTCTACACTATGCATTAAGAGATGAAAAATTAAAGGATGAGATATGGCCCCATCAAAGAGCTMACCCATGAGATGGTTTTCGATAGGAAATTCATGACTGTTGTGTCTATTTTCACGTGTTGCATCAATCCAGGGTACTGCACCTACACTTTAAGAAAATAATAATAAATAGAAATCTCATTTTATTACATGTCATTTGTTATTCTTATTATACACAATGAAAATACAATATTTTAAACATCTTATTACTTGGATCTATAAGAAAGAGAAAAAGCAACCATGGTTTTTTACAGAGTGAAGCACATTGAATCACAATAACCCTCTAGAATCTAAGCTTGAAGTGCAAACAATAGAGAGATTTTTCTTAAGGGCATATGATATATAAATTAAAAGAAAACATGAACATTCCTAGAATATTAAATATCAGTATAAAGAATGAGAATAAGAAAGTAGTGGATAACATATAATAAACAAATATAGTATTATGAGACTTTTAACAATATAAAAAGATAAAACAACCTACATAATCACAACTGAAAGACTTAAAAATTGGCAACATGARCACAACTCGACAGTTTAGGATTAGCAACCTCTATTAAAGGTCAAAAAGGATCGAGTCTCTATCCTCACATTTGTGATGCTACTTTTAAAAATAAAAAGAAATTACACACTCGAAGACCTAAAAAATAAAACTCATTATCACTAAATAGCTCCATGCTATCAAGACTTGTAGCCCTATATATCTTCCAAATTGGTCTCATCTCCCTAATCCTCCACATCAAATAAGGTGGTTGAACATAATGCTCCATTCATTGTTTTTGAAGTACATGCTTTGATATGATAGATAAATCCCTCCTCCCGAACAACTCCAAAAATATCACCCTCTATTAAAGAAACATCAAACACAAGATTATTGTCCTCTAGATTCTACATTCATTCTTCCAATCAACCATTTATTACTATTAGTTGTTAATTATGCATATAATTCAACACATCAACTATTAAACAACTTATTAGACGCCCTCACTTCCTTGTAAAAGCACAATAAAAGTCAGCCAGTCAAGATATGGAAGTTTGAAACTGAAATTGGAAGTTTGGAAGGAAAAAAAACAGCACAGTAGAATTTTTGTGATTTATATCCAAAAATGAGATTGAAATTCAAAATATTGGATCGTGAAATTACAATTTGGTTTTTGACCTCAAATTATAAGGTGAGTAACTGAATATCGAAAGATAGGAAAGAATTCAGAAAGAACCAAATCTACTCAAGTAGGATCTARAATCACTTTTTGTTGATGTATTGTTTAATCAACATCAAAATTTTCCAAACAAAACCCACGGAGTTTGCTTTAACCATATAGGGACTTTCAAAGGTGACAAACTTTCTACTTCTCTAATAAACCCATTTAAATGCCCTCCATGTCATGTTTTTTATATTAGAGCTTTCTCAGCGCACATGCACCACAAAGAACATGGTATGTCCAAATTTACAAACCTTGATAGCTACTTCTTGATTATTTTTCAGTATAGCACGGTGCACCTGAGCAATTGACGCTGCAGCTAAAGGTTGTTCTTCGAGTGAAAGAAACCTGATGTATAGACAAGCCCAAATTATGGAATAAAACAATATCTAACCAAGTAGACAATACTTTTGATGAAGATAGCTTGGGGGGGAAAACTGACATATTAATGTAAATTCAGAAATCCAKATGTACCAAAGATAWAATTTTAGCATGACCCTCAAAGATTCAGAATAACTTAAAAACTAACCTAACAAAATGCTACTCATTTTAACCAGCATTCTTTAGTTCCGAAACATACACAGCTCAAGCTTCCACCTAAATCTGATTTACATTCTGAGGAAATGATAGCAAAATCTAAGAATTTGAGACGTTCCTTTTCTCCTTTCTTATTTAATTCATTTAGTACCTTCCTTAAATAAATTACTGCTGCAATTTGCTTTTCTTTCTGCAGTTAGGCAGTTTCCTTATTGATTATTACCTACAAATGTTGCATAAATCATTCACAAATCATGAGAGCAATAAGAACATTCTTACTTCACATCTTATTTTMTATTGCTGGCCCTGGCGTTAGAATCAAACTCAATATGAGAATGGCTTCTCACAATAAATTATCTAACTTGATGAACTTCTTATCATTCTCAAATATTGAATAAGAACTATGCCCTTGGGAAAATGCTAAACGCTTATTACGATGCTACCATACACAAGCAGGTATTTTAGTAACAAAATTGTAAGACTAAAATTTCAATGAATTTGTCATGTCAGAGAGTCTTTCGGACCATTGTATGTGTATCTAGTAGAGTTGTAAGCATGTCTAGAATCTAAAGATTGGTGGGACATTCTGCTYGCGCTTGATTATTAAAGAAACCTTTTTATTTTTTTTAGAAACAAATCAACAGAACCCATTGGACAGAAGAGCATCGATTTTAAAATTCAATAACATAGATAATTTCAGCTAACATGTTGATTAAAGAAACCTTTTTAAATAAACTGTAATATACGTACCAAACAAATTTATAAGTTAAAACAAAAATGATAGAATTTATAAAATATAGTATAGTGAGTTCCTTAATTGYCTTAGTTACTCAATAACTGTAGCTATTTTAGTTCTTGAACTTTAAAAATATAATAACCATTTTGGTCATTTACATTATTTTGCCACCAATTATTTAACAAATGGATGACATTGAATCAAATATATGTATTAATGGGTTGACATGAGCATATATTGAAGACGCATAGGCTGGGTAAGATGGGTATTACTATTGGGCAAGGTGGATCCTGACGGCATCAAAACAACAAGAAGCAAAATGGTTATTTTTTAAAAGTTCTCAGCTAAAACAGACATTCACAGAATTTGGGGATGTTAGACCCCCAGTAGTGAAGACATATACTAGGAGGGGAAGAAGGGGAATTATACTTCCAGTTAGTTAGAAGAGTAGGGCCCACTTGAGTGTGGGGAGTAGTTTGTTAAAAGGGAGAATGTCCCTTGAGGGAGGTAGGTATTTTCTTAGCAAGTAAGAATAGCATAGTGCTTTCTTGGAGAGTTTTCCAGCCCTCTCGAATTGGCTGGGTTGATTCCGTTGTTCTTGTTCTTGAATATCAATAAAAGTAAGGGAATACCTTACAAGGGACCAGTATCAATAAATCTAAAAGTTTAAAAACCAAATTGAGATTTAAACTTGAAATAAATATACCTAAAATAAAAATATGAAACCAACGTGGAAAGTACATACCAGTACACTAGTCCCACTATTTTTGTACTTACATCGCTGATATATCTGAACCAAGGTTGCTGATTAGCACTTCTTTTATATCTTTGAATGGACAAGGAACAGCCTGAGGTTTTAATGACTATATAAAATTAGTATCTCAATCTACAAAAACTAGAAATTGCAAGACACTTAGATCAGACCTGATCTTGCAGTGAAGAGAGTGTGGATGAGTATTCATTTGGTGCCTGCCGCAATGAAGCTGCAAACTGACCAGCTTTAACATAAAACCCTTTGTTAACTTGACATAGCTTTAAAAGTCTCTTTGCAGAGCGTAAATGAACCTAGTCAAGATCATTTTCATAAAATCAGAAATAAATAATAGAATCCTTTTTAGAATTGAGTTAATTATGTTCATCTCTTGCTCGAGATTAAACTCAAATTCAATGAAGCCCTAGAATAAGATGGGCATTCTTAAAGCCAGAGAGTAACTTTGAAGAATTATTAATTATATGTATTTCAAAGTTAAAGATCTTGTATAAGATTGATCCTAAAGATGACAAGGATAATTTGGCTTCCCCTTTCATCAAGTAGGTAAATAGAAGAATGAAACCCCTTTTCTTAGGCAGTTCATAAGACCCACATGAAAATTGAAAGACGAGCAAAATTTTGAATTCGCCACTATTCCGCAACCATCATGCATTGACAATCAATGGATCATCTAAAACAAACCTACTGAGATAGAAATGATGTAACGAACGCCGTTTTACAGCATATAGCCTTTCCATCAGCATTACAGAATGATGATTGAACGACCTAATCCCTCACGGGCACCACGAGGGAGAGAGTGTGTGTGTGTGTACATTTTCGTACAATTTCAATTCCGAAAATCTCAGTAGGAAAATTATCCCTCAGAGATCAAACAGTTTCACTACATGCCAAAGTAAATAGACACAAACCTCAGATGATTTGAGACGGTACTCCTCAGAGCTCGGAACCAACCCATGCAAAGAGTACTTGTAGTCAAGAACAATGAGAGAAATCTGCCATTCAAGGTATGCCGGAGTTAAGAAACGATTCAACGAATTAAAAAAAAACATCAATAAAGCGAAAGTGAGGAAAAGGGATAATAGAACATCAGACTGTGGAGATCGCGCGGGAAGAGCGCCGGAAGCCGGAGACAGCAGTCCTAATTTTCTCGACGAAATCGAGAGAAATGGAATGAGAATCGGAAGATGATGAGACGGATTTGGTAGAATTGGAGGGCTTGAACGCAAGGACGGTTCCTGTTGTTAGAACGCAAAGAGTTGCCACAGAGCGAAAATTCAAATTCTCCCTAATCCTCTTCATTTGAAGCTTCTC